CACACACACACACACACACACAAAAAAAAAAAAAATAAAAAAAAAAAAATGCAGATGACAAAGGCCAGTGATTTATGAGAAGCCCATCATGACATGCGAGCAGCGACGGACGAGGAGGTATGAAGGTTTCTGGTTCCGAGCATTATCATTTATTAATAAATGAATAATAATTTCTTCAATTAGTTCAATCGATTATGCTTCGAGCGGAGGACAAAAGGCTATAGCTGACAATGGTCATTTTTTTTTCTAGCAAATCACTGCTTGGGAGTCTAACTTGAAAAACAGAGAGCAAAACTGGAAAATAAGGAGAGCGTATTAAGATGAAAAATAAAAGAGATTAAAGGAAGGAGGGAGAGGGGGGGGGGGGGGGGGGGGAGAGCGGCGCGGCTATAGTAACGTTCAACATCGGTAGGAAAAAAAAAGGAAAAAAAGGAAACAGATATTACGAGGGGGAAGAGAAAAGGACTGGCGCGGCGATTGGGAAAAGAATTGCCAAGTCCTTGGGGACATCCGTTAAAATTGGAACGATACAGAGAAGGGTAACTTAGCAAAATGGCCCCTGTGCTTTCCAGGATGACACGCATAAATCGAGAAAAAGAACTGCCAACGAACAGAACGAAAAGATTCGACTGGCAAGGACGGAAAGGAAAGACTACTCTTCACAAAAAAACAGAGGAAAAAAAACAAACAGAGAAAAGACGATCCAGCTCAGAGCAAGGCTAGCAGCCGGGCCGCCCAGGTCACTTTGTTTGCCCGGGCAGCCTGGCCGGGCAAGGATCGAAAATAAATTGAACAACTTTTGGGTCTGGGGCACTTCGAAACGCTTTACCAAATTTATAAATTAAAATTAACATAACAAAATATATATGTATAATGTATGTAAATATCGTCAAACAGAGCTGGTCGATAACATGAGTCGGTGAAACTCCGACGAAACAGTTTGCCACAGCCCCTCGTTTGTTGTCCTCTTCTCCCTCCCTCTCTGCCTACGGTTTACCCGGGCAGCTCTGTTTGACTGTATATATATATATATATATATCTCGTTTGTTGTCCTCTTCTCTCTCTCTGCCTACGGTTTACCGGGCAGTTCTATTTGTGACGATATATATATATATATCGGCTACCAGCCGGCCGCCCGGGTCACCCTATTTCCCCGGGCAGCCTGGCCATGCAAGGACTACGGAAGGTCCCAGCAAAATAGGGAAAAAAAACAAAAAACAATAGAAAAAACTATGTTATGCAGAAAAATAAACTGAACAACTTTTGCCTCAGGGTCACATCCAAATTCCTTACCAAATTTAATATAAACATTTAGAGTAGAAATTAATTTTTATTTTTTTATTTTTTATTTCTTTTTGGCCTGGCCGGGCAAGTGGACCGGGCCACTCTGGTAGCCTAGATATAAGTATAATTTTTGTTCCTTGCTCCAAGGAACAAAACGAAAAGATTCGACAAAAAAAAGGAAAAAAGAGAACACTTAAAAAAAACCGCCGACGACGAAATTGAACACTGGTCGGCAAAACATTCGAGCCACAACAAAGAAGAAAGAACATGAAATGAACATGCAACAGGGATTCATACCCACACTAGCCTAGGTACTCCTTTCGGAGGCCCTCTCTGGACGTGATTGCAGTGAAATTCATCCAGGTTCAGCTGTAATGAGGGTCAGGTGCGTCAGGGAAAGTCGCAATGTGACCACTCAGCAATGCAGAAAAACAAGATAAGATCGGCTTACTGTTCGAAACAAACCCAGTCATGCGCAAAGAAGCTGTAACGAGAACCACAAAAACAAACACACAATGTCATCACAAAGGCTCATCTCTATCTGTGCGTGTGTGTGTGTGTGTGTGTGTGTGTGTGTGTGTGTGTGTGTGTGTGTGTGTGAGAGAGAGAGAGAGAGAGAGAGAGCAGACTCTGTCATTCGAACACCTTGGCAGAGATTATTAAGCTTACACGTCACAATCATCACAGATTCAATAAATTCCGGGAGGCGAAAAAGATAGGCCGCAGCTAGTGATACTACGCAGGCAAGTACTAGCACTAGCACTACCACTACCACGTTCCTGTTCGTTGAGATTTCCGACAGCGCTGGACTTCTTCGGAAGCTACATTATATTTATCCACAAGCTGCTGCAGCGTTAACCACAGCCCACAAGCTGCAACACTAGCCACAGCCCACATGCTTTATTCCTCCTGAAGCTACAAGCTGCAGCCTGCATTCCCGATGCTCCACACAGACAATTATCCCCTTGAGCGCCCCATGTCCACGCGTCATTTCGCCTCAACGGTCTGCATTTCCGAAAGCACAGTCTGCATATCCGCAGCTAGTGAGCACGACATGCAGTCATTGCGTTGCGCCTCAATGGACTTCCTCTTTATGAAGCTACCGACTACAATCCCCCCCCCCCCTTCTCCGCAACAAGGGTGGCAAGGAGCAATTTTCACACTGCGTTTCCGAAGATACAAACTACAATTACCCCCATTGCGAAGCTGCAGATTACTATCCCCCTCCCTCCGCAACAAAGCGACTTTAATTGCAGACGCTACATACTGCATTTTTTTGGAAGATACAGACTACAATCCCCCAGCGGCCAGCCAGGCTCGTCCACCTACCGGTAGGGTGGTAGTCGATACAGACTACAATCCCCCTTCTGCTGGAAGGCCCAACTAAGGGAGCGTGCACCCAGAGTCGGGGGTTTAAAAGCACACCTTCTTGATGACCGGAAGCAGGGCCTTGGGAATGAGCACGGCGTCGATGACGTGGGCCACCGACGTGCTGCTGGTGATGGCATCACCCTTAATGACCACAGCGTTGTCGACCTTGACTGTCTTCTTGAACTTGCTGACGGCGATGCGTGGACCCAGGACACTCGTCAGCGACTTCCTGCTCCTCAGCTTGGAAGCGGTGTACTTGCCCTTCGACACGTGGTAGAACAAGATGGGCTTCAGGACCTTGGAGAGGCCGGGCTCCTTGCCCAGGCAGGTGACCACCTGCTTGGGCAGGGAGAGGAAAGCCTTGTCCGTCGGCCCGAAGGCAGTGACCCCCTGCGCAGCCAGGCCCTTCAACGGGTCCACCAAGCCCGTCGCCTTGAGAGCACCCGCCAGGATCTTCAAGTTCGGATTGGCAAGGATCTTATTCACGAACTTCTCTGCGTGCGCAGGGAACTTGGGACCGGCAGGAGCAATCTCCCCCGAGACGGCCATAGCCAGGGCCAGCAGGACGAAGGAGACGGCCACCACGCGCACGGAAGCCATAGCTGCTGCTGCTGGTCGATGGCCGGAAGGGGCTCACTAACTTGATTCGGCTGGCGTCCTCGGATGCAGAAACAGGAACCTGGAACACACACGTACTGAGGCCTGACGATGCCTAGTAGCCCAAAGCTCGCTCCGGCGGATAAAGTCATCTGACGGACGAGATGCTCTTTATAGGCCCACAGACCGTAATGTGGGTGTGGGTCGGTCGGTCGGTTGATCTTCTCTTTCTTTCTTTTCTTTTTTTTCTTTTTTTTGGGGGGGATCGGTTTTGTGCCCCACTACCATAGCGCATCAACGTGGAGCACTTTTCAACGTGGCCACAAAGCGGCCGTGAGATTCTCAGACCGTATGCCAGGAACCCCTGCGTGCTCGAACACAAAGTCATAGCCCCAGAGCGTATGGCAGGAACCCCTGCATGGGCCCAGGGATATCCTCTCAGGAGCGAAGAGGATTGGATTCGTAGCCATGATGAATGTGGAGGTACGTATTTATGAAGGCACGCAGAAAGGGCATCGCCAAACCAAAAAGACAAAACCTGGGGAGGGTGAATGTTTCTGTGCTTGGCTGAAGAACCATGCATGTTGCGCATTCCGGGGGCCATGATGTCCCACTTGACCGGATTCTTCATTTCTGGCCGTTGATTTTCATGATCTACGGTCGGGAATGGAGGATCCGGGTAAGTGGGACTTGGCCCCGGGGGCCATGATGTCCCACTGCCGTGGGTTTTGTTTTGGTTACGTGCACTCTGTGGCGGTGTGGGACATTGTGGGGAGGTGTGTGACGCCACACTTGGGGTGGGAAGAAAAAGGGAATTCCAGGATGTCATCATCAGGCCTTTGCAGGTCTGTCGGCTCTGCCTACGAATTAGGTTTTGTTGTCCCAAACGTATCCGCCCCTTTCATGGCCATGGGGCCTCTCTCCACGACTCACCACACTGGTAAATGAGAGAATGAATGTTCTCCGCAAGCATGGAAAGAAACACAGGAGGAGTGCTGTCTTTTATGCATGTGGAGTGAAGTCCGTAGAAGCTCTCCGCACAGGCTGTCGAAAATCAGGTTTTCGACAATTTTGCATCCCCACACAGAATGTCATTATGAAGAATTGCGGCTCAAAAAAAATTCGACAGGTGTCAGAATAGTATGTTCCACAGCCACCCTCCCCCATTCGTTTCCTCGTGCGCCTGCAGGAGACGGATTTTTTTTTTTTTTTTTTTTTGAGACGGAAATTCCAACGTGCCCCACCTGCCTTTCCAGAATTGCGTTCGACTTTGCATTCCCCTCAGTCACTGTTCCATGACGCCCGTGCCCTCTCGAAAGGCGGAGTCCGTTTGGCCGTGACCAAAAACCTTGCTGGTCGAATTTTTTCTGACAGCTGACACTGCCTGACAGCCTGTGTGGGGAGCCTCATAGTGTGTGACGATAGAGCCTACCCAGCCTTTGCCCCAGCCTTGCTCACGGGCAAAGGCGAACCGCTGTTTAGTCATTGATGGCCGAACCCATTTTCCACACTCTGTGGTTGCTTGCATAGCTCTGTTTGTGGTCTGGTTCCGGCCCCTCTTCCTGGTACGGGCCATAGCTCGGGTGGTAGAGCTGCCGCGTGGACGGGTCCGTGGATGGGGAGGATTGTGTGGATAGAGCAGCAGAAAGCTTTCGGGTGGCCAGTATTGTTGTCGACTCCACGCATTGTCACGGCTATGCATTGTTGTCTGTGCATTTTTCGTGCGTACTCAGAGGTTACTCGTTTCTTGTGTGTGTGTGTGTGTGTGTGTGTGTATTCTATTCGTTTTGGGATAACTTCAGGAGAGTCACCAAAACGAGTTATAATTGCACTGGGGGGCAAGATACAGTTCGCAATTGGACTTCGGGCACCCTACCTGGCCAGAAAGCTGGGTTGTATACATTGCCGGAACTGCAATCCGAAATTGGGTGCATTTATAACTCATTTCTGTGACTCCAGCGTCAGAAGGAATCCTGGGTCGCATGGGGACGGGGTTCTCGTTTCTTGCGTACTCCATACCATACAAGAAACCAGAACCCTGCTGCCCGCCCTGAGCCTGCCAATGACAGACCGCCTCTTAGGGCCTCCATGCTATTAAAAAAATGCTCCAACTACCTTCGCAATTCCTGACCGAGAAATGAAGTTACGATCTGCGGTTGGCACAGATGTCACACACTGACAAACAAAATAAAACCGAATGGAAGTTACGGTCTGCGGTTGGCACAGATGTCACACACTGACAAACAAAACAAAACCGAACGGTAGTCGGACAACGCCCCGGGAGTTGTGTGGCGACGCCCAAAATCCTGCCCCCCCCCCAGAAAAAAAAAAAAAATGGCGACTGAACTGCCGAACACATCCAGATTCAGGCTCTCCCCATGCATTGTTCTGTAAGGGTGGGACCTCCCCTTCGCGGCTACATCAACAAGTGTGTCGGCAACGGATTGGT